TCAGGGATCACTCCTGGTGGAGCTCAGGGGACTTTATGGGGTGCTGGGGATGGAACCTGGGTAGTCCACATGAAAGGCAAACTCACAACCCTCTATACTATTACTTTAACCCCTCATTATTTTTTGTGAAAAACACCACCACTTAAGTACACTGGAAATATTTTCTCCTAAAATAACAATTATTCATTTAAATGCAAAATGTGAATAAGCACTAATAGACTGGACAGGAAGGTTTGTTATAGTAACCAGAGAAACTTGCTCTCATAAAAGTCCCCAGGGCTCCACTCTAAAACAATTTCTTATAAATCAGCAAGATCAACACTATTTACTCTACTATAGCTCTAAGTACACCTATAAAACAAATTTGTTCTTTCATAGATCCCTGTAATTTAGCAATTGATCTTTCTCACTTAGTGAATCATAAACAATTTTGTTAATTTGTCTTAGAGGCAGATTGTCTCACTAGCTGTTAATCTGATTTTTATGTAAATCTGTGTTATGATTTGATCCTGTCCCTCATCCAAATCCATATGTTGAAGTCCAGATGCCTAGTACTGAGAATATGACTCTATTTGAAGTTAGGATTTTTATAAAAGGCACACAATTTTTTTAGGCAATCAATTTTAAACAAGATCATTAAATTAGGGCATCAAAATTATGCAGCAAGTATTACTGGTGTCTTTATAAAAGGTGAAATGTGGACCCAGAAAGGAGGAGTGCTATTTGAGCAAGTGAATGGCTGTCTACAAAAGGAGAGGGGCCTGGCATGCTCTTCCCTCAAAAGTCAATAGAACAAGAAACCCTGCCAATAACTAGATTTCAGACTTTGAGTTTCCAGAAATGTGAGATCATTGGTGGAATTTAAACCACTCCAGTTTATGATACTTTATTTACTGCCTCCCTAGAAGATTGATATAACACACAATGAAAAACTATTTCCCACATCTCTTGTAATTTTCTTGAGTAAAACAAAAACAGAACCCAGAATGAGTCACAGATTATATACATTTTTCTTAATTCTAAAATATATGTTGGTATGAAATACAAATTTCAAACTATAATGCTAGTTTATATTGTAAGTTATGTATAATTTGTCTATAATCATCTTTTAAAAGTTAGATATGCAGATCCTGGCAAGCTCCCCATGGTATATTTGATATGCCAAAAACAATAACAATGGCCAGCCGGGCATTCTAGAGGAAAGGGCAGCTCAGATAGAGAAGGGAGCACCAAATAAAGGGTGTTTGGAGGATCCTCCCAGGAGGGGAGATGCATGTCGAAAGTAGACTATGGACTGAACATGTTTGCCACTCAATACCTCTTTTGCAGACCACAACACCCAAAAGGAGAAAGAGAACACAGGGGATTGCCCTGCCACAGAGGCAAGGGGAGATGGGGGCATGGGGGTGGGGGGGATATTATCCATGGTGGTGGAAAATGGGCACTGGTGGAGGGAAGGGTATCTGATCATTGTATAATCAAAACCCAAGCACAAAAAAATTGTAAATCTACAACTGTACCTCATGGTGTTTCACTAATAAAAAAAAACAATAACAATAAGTTTCACAATGGAGACATTACTGGTGCCTGCTTGAGCAAATCGATGAACAACAGGACGATAGTGACACAGTGTTACAGATACATATCACAGATTTTGAAGTTATTTATAGATGAAAACTCATTACATGTTCCATGTTTGCTTTTAAGTGTTTAGAATGCAAATATGGGTAAAGTAATGAATACTTAGGCAATATCAAAACAACATAGATGAAAGATAGCACTGTAGCACTGTCCTCCCGTTGTTCATCGATTTGCTCTAGCGGTTCCAGTAACGTCTTCATTGTGACACTTGTTACTGTGTTTGGCATATCAAATACATCACGGGGAGCTTTCCAGGCTTTGCCATCCGGGCGAGATACTCTTGGTAACTTGCCGGGCTGTCCGAGATGGGTGGAACAATCGAACCCGAGTTGGCCCAGTCGGCAGTGTGTAAGGCAAACGTCCTACCCGCTGTGCTATCGCTCCAGCCCAGATGAAAGATACGTTATAAAAAATTTAAACTTAAAGAAATGTGTTCATATTATTATTAAAAAAGTAAATAGGATGATTTTATTACTTGACTCTTACAAATAAAGCTGCCGTGCACAAGAACATACATCTTTTTGAATCAGGGCTTTTATATTTTTATATTTTTCAGTAGATCTTTATGAGTAGAATTGTTGGATCACATGACAGGTATATCAGGGGAATCCTTTGGGGGTGGGGAGGGGCGAGTAACACCCGGTGTTGTTCAGGGGACCAAATACCGTACAGGGGATTGAACTGGAGTCAATACAAGGTAAGTGACTTAACTCCTATACTATCTATCTGGCCAAAGATAGATCTTCTTTTAATGTTTTGAAGTATGTCCATACTGTTTATCGTAGACGTTGGCTCAATTTAAAACCACCAGCTACTAGTACACTGTGTTCCTCTGTGTGTATGAACTTAGGGCCAGTGGGACTATACTAGCCTTTGCTCAGGGGAACATGCAAGGCTGAACTGGGGTTGAAAACCTAAAGCATGCAAGGCTCACACTCCAACCCTTTGAGTTTTCTCCCTCCCAAGTGTTCCCTTTTTTTTTTTCACCCTTGCTAGCTCTCCTTATTTTTGACTTTTTTTGATAAGGTCCATTCTTATAGATGTGAAGTGGTTTTTCATTGAGGTTTTAGTTTCTATTTCTCTTACAATAAGTGATAATGAACATTTCTTCATTATCTGTTGGTCATCTGTATTTCTTTGGAGAACTGCCTATTTAGATCTTCTGCCTATTTTTTGATAGGATTGTTTGCTTTTCAAATACAAATAAATCATTGACAATTCTTATATACAGAAAACAGGTAACAAGAGTGTGGTTTTTCAGTAGAACCATGTAAAATTTATTATGTAATAAGTGGGAAAGTAATGCATATAAAGTTTATGCAAAGAATAATAGTTTCCAGATTTAAAACCAAACTTTGGGGGCCAGAGTGCTAGCATACTCTCCTTATAAGTGGCTGAACAGGGTTGGATCCCTGGTACCCCAATTAAGTCTCTTGAGCCCTGTCAGATGTAATCCAGCCAGGAGTCAGGTTTGAGCACTCACTCCAAGAGATAAAAGGTTTAAAAAAAATCAAATGTTGATTTCTGTCTTTATGGGTCTTATTTGATAGTGATAGTACTATTCAATAATATTTTTCCCTTAGATAACACATATTAATGTAATAAAAGTTTACTGACTCATGCTGGTTATTACAAGGCAATGAATAGACTAATGCCCTCTAATTTACTTGCTTTTTAAGATAAAGAAATTTTAAGTAAATAGAAATTCACAACTTTAGAAGAGTAAAAGACAGATTACTCCAGATAGCATATCAGAGCTACTTTAGCTCTCTTGCTCTGTTCAAGGAAGATGTTTCTTATAATAAATTATAAATGAGTGGTAAAATATTCAAACAATGATTTAAAGTTTTCATTGTGAAATAAGAATAAAGACATTGAGACCTTGAGATGTTGGAAATCTCTAAGAACCTTTACAAAATTTTGCATTGAGGCTGGAGAGATAGCACATCTGGTAGGGCGTTTGCCTTGCATAAGGTTGCCTGGTTCGATTCTCAGCATCCCATATGGTCCGGTCCCCCACTCCCAGCACCCCCAGGAGTAATTCCAGAGTGCAGAACCAAGAGTAAACCCTAAGCATCACCTAGTGTGACCCAAAACAAGCAAGAAGAAAAAGACTTCAGACAATAAAATTTAACTCAAGTACACACACACACACACACACACTAGCTGAACTTATGATTTGGGCTTAAAAAGGAGGTTGTAGACTCTTATTTGAGAGATTCCACTTCAGCACTTCAAACTTCTGACACTTTGCCAAATGAACATTTTGGAATGACATTAAATATATCTGGTTAGGCTTGAATAACGATAAACACACACTTGTGGCTTTTGTTCCCCCACTGCCCTTCAACGAACATAAGCAAGATCTCTGGAACACTTTCTGCGTGTGAGATTATGTGCTAAGTGTGGCTTCACGTGTGACTGTCCTTGCTTCACGGAGTGTTTATAGTGATTACACAGTCACGCAAACACAATGTTGCAAACTGTAAAAAAAAAAAAAAAAAAAAAAAGGCTCCAGCACCAGTGAAGCTTCTGCAGGCAGGGGTGAACGTAAAGCGTTCCAGAGGCAAAGGCACTTGGAGGAGGAGCAGCAGGGATTAATCTCGCAGCGTGGGGAGGAGCGGGAGCCTGCCCGCCGGGCGAAGGAGAGGAAGAGAGGAAGTGCACAATAAAAGACCGCAGCAGCGAAGGGTTCAGAGAACTGCAAGGTCCTCTAAACGCTGGAACCCCGAAAGCTGAGAAAGATGAAGCCGAAGAAATAGGTAGGAGCCGTGTCCTGCAGGAGTTTCCCTTTTTCTCTCGGTGTTTCCGTTTTCCTCCTTAGCCGTGGCCAACACAGAGGAGCTCGTCTGCCTTCGGACCGGCCGGCGGGCTTTGGCCTCTGCTGTCGGGTCCGCGCGGGCTTGTTTTTAATTTCTATGCATCTGGGCGAGGCATACGTTCTCCGATTGGTCAGAGGTCGGTTATCCCCGTGGGCCTCATCCGGCATACAGCTTGATCCCTGAGAAAGGGTTTGCAACATTTTCTCAAGGACTGCAGACTTAAAAATAGCACAGAGGCGGACCGGCAGCCCAGAGGGCTCCCGGGTAAACCGGGCTGCACCGTGCACGCGCAGGGGCGGAATAAAAGCGCTGGGCGCGCCCTGCCGCATTGCGCATGTCAGCTTTGCGTTGCTAAGGCAACTGGAAGGCGTCTCCCGGAAGAAGGGCCTTGTCAAATGATCAGACCTAGATTCTCATCTTGTGAGCTCAGGCTGATGCGCTCCTGAGGCACTTAGGACTAGAGCAAAGCTGAAGATGATCCGAGCCTGATGCAGTGTTGTTCCCATCAGCCGACAACCCAGGGGTTCCGAAGAGTAAGGTGAATTGGTCCAAATGGACCGCAGTGCTGGGACAGACCTTTCTCATGAGACCTTCAAGTCTTTTACTGATGAAGTGCAGAGTTCCAGTTCTTTTACCTCCTCCAGAGGAAGGCAGCCCTGGTCCAGTGACTATGCCAGCGAACCTGAGACTGAAAGTATAACTACAAACTTAGAGCATGGAGACAAACAATTGGAGATTTCAGATAGCAGCAGTTGTGAAGAGAAGTTGAGTAGAAAATGGATTAACTGCCTCAAGAACAAAGATACTAACTCTGGACAATGCCAACCAGGTGCTAAAATTCTATCTGAAATCCTTGCAGTGTCAGATGAAGAACTGAATGCTCTGCAGTCTTTTTGCACCGTTAAGATAAACGTGATCAAACAAAAAGTAAACTCTAAAGGAAAAAGGAGAAGGAGATATAAAAAGCCACACATTAGATTCGAATCAGAAGCGTCAGAATTTAATATGTTAAACTCTGCTGTTCCTGATGAACTTTGGAATAGAACCCATTTTAAAAACTGGAGTACAACACTAAAACAGGTGACAACAGCCAAGCAACATATTTCTTCTCAGTGTCCTGATTGTAACAGAAAAAGAGCAGAACTGGCCCAGTCTGCTTTTCTGAAACAAAAGAAGACATTATTGGAGTCTCTTTTACTCCAAGATAAAATAGATGAACATCTTCATACTAAAGACTTTCTTACTCATATTGCAGAAGCACATGAAGGCCTTCCCAGGCTTTCAGATAATCCCGGAATAATCTGGAAAAGACTATATGAGAAAAGTCAGATTGGATACTTTGGCCTTGAAAGGTCATGATTCAGGATAAATGTAGAATGATGGAATAGGACTTGTCATTCTTTCTCTTTACCTCTTCTCATATTGCCTTCTCTAACCAAATAGAAGAAGGTGTTTATTAATTGTTGTACGTAATGAATAAGTTTTCTTATTGTTTGTCTGAATTATCATGATTATTTCTACCAGAGAGAGAAGGAAAGTGCCTGCCGTAGAGGGGAAACATTTGTGGTGAGAAATGCACACTGGTGAAGGGATGGGTTTAGAACATCCTATCACTGAAATCCATTTATGAAAAACTTTGTAACTGTGTATCTCACAATGATTCAATAAAATAATTAAAAATATATAAAGTTACCATATAATCCATCAAAAAAGAAATCATAGCTGACATTGGTGAATAAATGGATATGGGAATATAATCAAAAGTAAAAACTTAGGACTATTGAGACTAAAGACTAAAACTTAAGACTTAGTAAGTTTCTGACTTGTATACTTGGATGAATGGTTATTTTATTAAGATTAGTACATTGAGAGAGATCGGTAGTGATGAAAATGATTAAGATTGTGATTATTTGAAAATGGCTAATTTTAGGTATATTTGAGACATTCATGCAGAGATATGGAGGACATATTTGGTTATCTGTGTTTGCAACCCAGAAGGAAGATTTGGCCTAGAGATTTGAAACAAAGGGAGGGTATTGTTAGTCATTATAGTTGAAAATTAGTCTGAAATATGTTGAGCTCTTTTTAATGACAATGTGAGGAGAAAGTGACCAGTTCCTAAGTAATTCAACAACTACAGTACAGAACGTGGAGAATAAAGCAGTAAAGGAAACAGAGAAGAAAATGTCATAGAAGGATAAAGAAAACCAGGAATGTGTAATGTCAGAGAGGCCAAAGAAAGAAAATTTTAAGAAGCATGGGTTGTCTTAAGAATGCCAGAGCAACAGAGAGTTCACATTTAGTCATGTGTTATGATATGTTGTCCTAGCAACAGCTGCCAAATAGCAATCGGGGCAGATAGCAAGGCAAGGAAATGAAGCATATGTTGTATAGACTATACATTAGAGACTTTGTGGCACTTATCTTATTTTTCAAATTTCCTTTCTGAAAAAGCAATAGCATCCCCTGAAGAATACCCTGGTATTTTGTGAAAAAAATGAGGAAAATAATGGGAAAAAAATGGTATTCTAAGAACTCTTTTATATTGCTTAATGTCTTTATAAACTACAAATCCTGGATTAGTAAGGGTACCTGATGGTCATTTAAAAAATTTTATTTGGAAAAATCAGTACCAATAGCCTTTCTATCATCTTATAACATTTTTATTGAAGACTTTTATTTATTTATATACTATTTTCCTGTCAATTTTCATGTTTCCTTTTAGTCATTCCTAAGTGAAATGGAGAACAACTAACATGTCATTGCTTTATCTTTGCATCTCAATAAAGTCACATCTCACATAATCAAATTCTGAATAATTTTCATTTTAGAGTTCCCCCACTAAAGGACATACTACTTTATTCAAACAGAAATAAGTTAGAAATGTAATATCATCTTTTGTTTCTCCTTTTGTTTTTTTGTTTTGTTTTATCAACTCAACTCCAAGCTATTTTTTCATCAGGACCATTGGATCTTTTTTCAGTGTATTCCAACCCACTAATGTCTAGCTCAGTACCACTTTTCTTATCATTTTTGCACCTTCTCCATTCATAGTTTGTTGTTCTGATTTTCAAACTATTCTATATGCAGTTGTCAAATTATATTGCTGATACATTAATCTATTAGTAATTCCTTTAATTCATCTCTCTCATACATGGAATGTAAAGAAACACAATAAAGAAATAGAAAATGGCCGAAGGCAACAGAATATGAAAATTAATATTCTGTTATTTTGATCTACAGAACTGATATTGTCGGGTCAAGGGAAGAATAAGAGACGGGGAGAACTCTGTATGCAGGAAACCCTATCATTAACACATTGCAAATCACAGTGCCTCAACATTTAAAAAGCAAAAATACACAAATATTAAAAATAATTTGTTTGCCACTCAATGCCTCTTTTGCAGACCACAACACCCAAAAGGAGAGAGAGAACACAGGGGATTGCCCTGCCACAGAGGCGGGGGGGGCTTGGGGGATGGGGGTGGGGGGGATATTATCCATGGTGGTGGAAAATGGGCACCGGTGGAGGGATGGGTATCTGATCATTGTATAATCGAAACCCAAGCACAAAAAATTGTAAATCTACAACTGTACCTCATGGTGTTTCACTAATAAAAAAAAAAAAAGAAAAAAAATTTATGGTGCTTAGGAATAATTTAGAACAGTTCTTTAATATTTGGCTTTAGTCACCTATCTAATCTCATCTTCTATAGTCTCTGTACTTCAGCTGTTCCAGATTTACATTTCCTTGAGCTCTCTTGTTCTTTTTACTATTATGTTTTACAATTATAGGGCTGGAGCGATAGCACAGCGGTAGGGCGTTCGCCTTACAAGCGGCCAACATGGCCGACCCCAGTTCGATTCCTCCGCCCCTCTCGGAGAGCCCTGCAAGCTACCGAGAGTATTCGATATGCCAGACACAGTAACAACAAAGTCTCCAATGGAGACGTTACTGGGCCCGCTCGAGCAAATCGACGATCAACGGGAGGGCCTTTACCTTTACCTTTACAATTATACTTTTATTTTACTTAATTTTTCATTTTTAGGGGGCAGGGATGTGAGAGGGTTGGCCACGCCTGGCCAGTCTCAGAACTTACTCCTGACTCTATGCTCATGGATCGGGCTCAGGGCACCATATGATATGGGGTACCCAAGACTGAACAGGGGAATCACTGTGTGCAGAGCAAGCATTCTACTTGCTCTGCTGTTGCTCTTACCCCATCATTTGTTTTGCACAAATTTTCTTAACTTCCTCTCTATTTCATATAGTCTTCTTCTTTTGTTTCAAAATTTTATTTTAGTGATAGATAATAAAATAACCTTACAAAACTTAAAGTATTACCTGGTATTATGTGCAGAGTCACCCTTTCGTCTGATACTATCCTCCTGCTTTCTTCACTGACCTGTCAGAACCCTGCCATGCCAGTGTTAATTTCTACTGGGCCGATCACTGAGCAACTCACAGTCCAAGAGGAGAGTAGAGGCAGAGCAAATTCAAAGAATTGGGGAGTAACAACTAAACCAACCAGAGAAGAAGTATTTTCAAATTTTAACCAGTAGAAACATACTGCTCTAAATGAATGGCTTATTATTCATGATACCTACAAACAGCCAATTATAGTAATTTCTCATAGATTCTTCTAGTGTTATGAAAATACCAATGCCAAAGATAATTTATTATGCACCCTCTTCTGGGCCTCGTTTTTGGGTTTTTTTAAATCATGTTATTGCTATCTTTTTCTCCAATAAAACATAAAAACACAAATTTTACATTGTCCTGTTTTGATGGTATTCATTACATTTTTGATGTTATGCAGCTGTGATCACTATTTCCAAAATTTTCATCACGCTGAACAGAAAACAACCCAGTTAACAATAATTTCTCAATCTCTCCTCCCTTCTAGCTTCTAGCAAGGCTCACATACTTTCTACAAATTTATTTATAGTTATTTAATGTATAAGTGGAACTGTATTTGTTCTTTTGTATAGTTTATTTTATTGCATATTTTCAAGGTTCATCAATGTGGTAGCATGTATTAAAACTTCATTCTTTTGTGACTGATACTCCATCATATGGAATAATAAATGCATAGAAATAAATGCATGTTTATTTACACATTTACTGATGGGAACATCTGTGATTTCCCCATTCTGGTGATTAAGATTAATGTTGATATGAACTTTGACATTGCACTGTCTGTTTGAGCACCTGTTCTCAATCCTTTGAGGCGAATTGTTGGAGGATCCTAGGAGGAGAATTGTTGGATCACAGGATTGTCCTATGTTTAAATCACTTTGATGAATATACAAATTATTTCCATAGCAGCTACATTTTACCTTTCTTTCATTTTACCTTTAATTCAAACCCTTTCTTACAGGGTTTGAATTACCTCACATCCTTGCCAACTCTTCTTTAAAACACACACACAGACACACACACACACACACACACACACACACACACACACACCCCTATCCTGTTATGTCTTTAGTGGCATCACTGTCATTGTCATCCCATTGTTCATCGATTTGCTCGAGTGGGCCCAGTAACATCTCCATTGTGACACTTGTTACTGTGTTTGGCATATCGAATACATCACAGGTAGCTTGCCAGGCTTTGCTGTGCAGGTGAGATATTCTCGGTAGCTCGTCAGGCTGTCCGAGAGGGGCGGAGGAATCAAACCTGGGTCGTCCGGGTCAGCCACGTACAACACAAACGCTCTGCCCGCTGTGCTATCACTCCATATCATTTTTATTTGTATTTTCCTAATAATGAATGATGTTGAGTATTTTCATGTACTTACTAGCTGATTGTGTATCTTCTTTGGGAAAATATCTTTCAAGTTCTTAGCTCACATTTTACTTATTTTTAAATTTTATTGAGGGACAAGTTTTTGGAACTATACACTGTGATACTCAGAGATTATTCTAGGCTCTGTGCTCAGGAGGGAAACATATGCTTTGGGATCCATATACAGTACCAAACACCAAACCTGGATCTGTCTCATGCAACACCTGCATTTTATCCCTGTTCCATCTTTCTGGCAGTTTGCTAATATTTGAAATTAGGTCATTTATTGGTCAATAATATTGAATGCAGGAGTTATTTATATATACCAGCTATGAAACCCTATCAGATGTTAGTTGCACATATTGTCTCCTTTTTTTTCTTTACTTGGTACTTTGCTATTTATTTATTTAGTTTCTCAATCGTGGGAATCTAACTCTGGGCCTCACACATGCAAGACAAGCTTTCTGCCACCAGGACACATTCCTGGCTTCTATCTGTCTCCTAATCCTCTGGTTGTCTTTTAAGTTCTCATTAGCAGCTTTCTGATTTTTGTTTGTTAGTTTTGGTGGGGATGTACACAACTATTTTTAATTTAAATCAATTCAAAATTAAGGTAAAGGTAAGGTAAAGGCCCTCCCGTTGATCATCGATTTGCTCGAGCGGGCCCAGTAACGTCTCCATTGGAGACTTTGTTGTTACTGTGTCTGGCATATCCAATACTCTCGGTAGCTTGCCGGGCTCTCCGAGAGGGGCGGAG